CACGTTCCTGCCAGCTGTTACAGCTCCTACAGGCTGTGGGGTATTGTGGAGTCTGACACACATAAGTCACTCAGAGCTTTTTGTTAATGATGTTCTGAAAATCTCAAGCACCATTTTATTATTATTATTACTACTTTTATTTTTATTTTATTTTATTTTATTTTATTTTATTTTATTTTTATTTTATTTTATTATATTTTATTTTAATATTTTTTTATTTTATTTTATTTTATTTTATTTTATTTTATTTTATTTTATTTTATTTTATTTTATATCTTAGCCACGACTCTCACTTGTTCAGTTCAGAATGTGAATATGTTTGAATATGTTTGTTTTCCCGTGGTTATCAAAACAGAGAGGTTATTCTATCTGGACACATTAATGATATTCAGTTGGTTCCTGATAACTGCTCCATTAATGTCTGTCAGCATGGCACCCTCTCTGCTCATAACCTCCTCACAGACCAGACAGCTTTCCTAGCAGAAGGGAGATACTTATAAAAAAATAAAAGGCAAAATGTCAGCATGTTCTCAAATGAGATGCCCTGGGAGATTCATGAAGCAGTGGTAGCTGTGAAGAAATGCAGATGTGACAGGTGGCTGACAGTTTGGTACTTTGTCTATAATCCTTCTGAACTAGTGGCAGAGACTTTCTTAAATACAGTGATTACCATGAGAAACCTCTCCCAAAAAGTGTTGTTTACATCAACAATCATGAGATGATTTGTGACATGCCTGGGTCCTTTCCACTACTTTCAGAGGACAAATACCATAGGTCAAGACTTTTGGAATAATAATAATAATAATAATAATAACATCAACAACAATGGATAATAATGGATAATAAAAAAGACCAGAGAGCCTGGATAACATAGAACAGAGTCTGAATAAAATAGGCTCCAAAGCCTGGGGCAAACTGCATTTGCTAAACCATTTGGTAAAATGGGCTGAGGCAGATGTTTGAGCTAAAGTAAATCAGGGAGAAGTTGCCTTTGAGTGACTGAAGGGCTGGCTCAAAAACATTTGGACTGTCCAGAATACAGACATACTGCTCCCTGGGCATCCTTCTGCAGAGCTACTGCTGTGACTGTGCTTGTCTCCAGAAATAAGCCGTGCATTACTGGTAACAGGGTGGTAGCCACCTTCTAGACATGCTGCTGCTATCTTTCTTGGACCACAGAAATAATATATCTAAGGCAGAATAAATATAAAACCAAATAAAACTGGTCTCAAAAATGTTTTTGTCTGAATAATTCCTCAGCAAATTTTCTCATAATAAAACATGTCCTAATGAGCTATCAAGAGAAGAGGAAATTCATCACTTACCTCACAAATATCAACTTGAGAGCACTGCTCGTGTCAGATGGCATAATTAATGGCTTGAGAGGGAGTGTGGAGCAGCATAGCCAAAAACACTGTCCCCATCACTCATTCCTCATCAGCTCAAATCATACATGTTACTTGATCTACAGAGGATTAGCCAGGCAGCTAGAAGGAGATATGGGACTGAAGGGAATACACTAAAATATGGTATATCTAATCTTGATTTATCCAGGCTGGTTTTCTTCTTATCACTGAGGTGTCACAGCAGCTGGGCATGCATGGTGTCTTGTTTTTGTGGCTTTTCTTTTTTTCCCAGAGAAATAAAATTTACAGACTTTGAACTTAACCCTCCCTGATGCTGAGCAAGCCATCTTTAGGCCCATGTCAGAACCTGGTCCTCCTGGGGGTTCAGCAGGCATGGGTGGGTGCCCTGGAGCAGGTGAGACCCCTCTGTGCCCTGGTGACAAGGGATGTTGTGGTCAAGGTGATGTTGTTCATGGTGGGGCTGCCTTAGGAACACATCTGAATTGTTCCTCTTGTGGTGGCACCAGCAGAGCTGGGGGATTGTGCAGCCTCCTCTGGTCACACATCCATCTCTTCTCTCAGTGCTCTGCAGCTGCAAGAACTGCCCCACGGGCTTCCTCCACACTCCTGCTCTGGGGGTAATTCCCTCCCAAGGACACTCACAGAAGCCAAGGCAAGGGGGATGCTTTGGAGGAACAGCTCTCCCCACTGGGATGGGAAAGCTGAGACACCAGGCTGGTGCTGGCAGCTGTTGTAATGAGAACCTGAAATGGCCAAAGCGGGTCAGAACAAAGGGTTATCTCCCAGGGCATTCCATCTCCAAGGCCTGCCAGGAGCAGGTGCTTGGTTTAGGGAAGAATACAGGATTCTGGAGATGTAGAGGGATCACTTTTTGACTCCACCTCCCAGAAACCTCCTGTGAGGGACTTCCTGAGCTGAATGTTATTTCCCCAGCTCTGCATTTCTCAGGTGCTTATGGACTTCTTTTTACTATTAATTTATCTAATATCTTTTGACACCAGCATTTATTTTTGGCCTTTGCAGTGTCCTGTGATGTGTGCCCCAGAACAATTATGTGCAGTGGGAAAAATGTGCATCTCTTCCTCTGTTTCAGAGTTTCTGCCTGGCCTGTATATATAATGTCGTCCATTCCCTGTGATAAGAGAATGAATGAATCATCACCTTGCCTTTCTCCCTCAGTTTCACCATGTTGAGAAAAGTAAGCCTATCAAATTTACTCCACTGAAGCAACTCCATGTTTCTGAGACCAATTCCAGCCTAGCATGATTTTTTTTTTTTTTAGGATTTACACAAGAGAAGAGTATGAGAAATTCAGGCAGCTGCCAAAGTGATGGCTGACAGGTTTTATTTCTATCCCTTTGCTTCCAGTGTGTGGTCACTGCTTGAGGGCAAGTCCTGTGCTCCAGTAGCTGTCAGCCTGCTAAGTGCAGCTGTTTTACATGTCTGTTCACATTTGTAAATGCTGTATGTTCTGAAACTCTCCAATAAATGCTCACTTGAGGTAGTTTGTCAGCAAAGACAACTTTATCTGTTCTACAAGTGACCCCCACATTCACCTCTACAAAACCCCTCGTGCAGCAGAGCCCTGTGGTTGCTGCTGGTAAGATCTGAGCACTGGGCTTGCCCAAGGCAAAGTGCCCTTGGCATCTGCTGGCCCCTTCTGTGGGCTCCAGTGTAAGCAATAAATGGGCTTTTATGTTGGTGCTGATCTCCCACGTTAAGTTCAGAAAACATTATCTGGCAAATCTGATGTGTCACATTTCAAAGAAAAGCGTTTTCCACCTTAATCCAACTACTTCAATCCTGATTTCTTAACAGGTAAAGGACAAAACCCTTTGGGAACCAAGCACTTCTAGGAAGCAAGGTTAAGAGCAATAAATTTTCCTCCTTACCAATAGACTGAAATATTGGCAAAATATTTTCTATTAGGAGCACATGTCTATCCCCAGTCAGGGCAGTGCTCTATAACTCATCTTACAAAACTGAAATACAATTTTTGATGATAAGGGCTGGATAAAGATCAGAAAACTGACCTGGAACGTTTCATTTATATTGACAAAAGTTTTTATTCAAGAAATACTTCCCCTGCACAGAGTGAGATTTCAAGATAATACACATTACAAATTATTTGCAATGAAGCTGTTTTCTCTGAGAATTGCCCAAGTGCCTTCCTCAGGACCATATCTGCAACCTCTTGACAGCATAGAAAAATAATTGTTTGGTTGCCCAATGGAATATTTGGGGTCCCTGTCCCTCATCTGTTTCTCTAAACACTGCCTGGGAAGTGGCACAGTGATAAAATGAGCATCAACAGCCCTGGGATTAAGAAGTGATTTGAGACCTGCAGCTGATCTCAGACTGGATCTGGTTAGGAAATAGATTAGCAAATTACTTTACCTGGAACAGGACATTAATTTTGGTGTCTTTTGCTGGAGAGAGGAGTCATGTTGAGATGGATAAATGAAATTGGGATTGTGGGGAAGCTGTAACATGGGGTCAGTTTAATTTGGATTTTTGTGCCAGAGTGATCTGAGCACAGTTCATGTTCTTCTCTCTGATGCCTTTTGCTTTCTGGCATCTTGGCCTTGCAGTTTTGGGCCCTACAGCAGAGAAGGTGCTCTGATGTCTTCCCAATCATGGTATGGGGCAGGGAGCTGCTCACTGGCAGTGCAGAGCAGGGTGGATGCTCACCCCTGGAAATAAAACCCCATCTGTTCCTGCCATGCATGTCCCACAGCTGTGCTGCACTGTTCTCAGCTTGATGTCCAGCAGGAGCTTGCTTAAGGTAATTTTCTTTCAGCCCTGCCCTGCCTGCCAGCCAGGGGATAACAGAGCTAATCCCAACCCCAGGCAGCCCCTAAATGACACCAAAGGCTCAAGAAAAGTTATTCCACCTTTGGTGAGCCTTTGTTCCCCCGGCAATATCTTGTGCTAGGAGCCAAGCCACTGTGTCTGTAGGTGCCAGGGTGAATGTGCACCTTCTCTGTTACTGCCACCGTCTGAGGCTGGTGGCCAGAATTTTAGAAACTTGGGTCAAAATTTCCTGGGATCCAGCAGCTAGGATGAAGCCATTTTGCTGGTTTTGGGTATTTGTATGTGTGTGTAATGGGCATCAAGAGGGGTGACATCAGTGTCCTGTGTCATCTGGGGGATCCCCCGCTGGCGGTCCCCAGCCCTGCTGGAGACACACGGACTGATTTAACCCTCTGGGATCCAGGGCATAGTAGCAGCCAGATTTTCCCAATAAACCCCTCAACAACTCTTCCTCTCTCTGCTCCCCTCTTCCCCTACAAGCCCTGAAGCCATTCACAGGGGCAGCTCTGGCTGCGGGAGAGGGAGCACCTGTGTCCGGAGGAGGCATCGGACTGCCCTGCATTGCATTGCACTGCGCATCCTCCCTCCCTCCCTCCCACTCTCCTTCCCTCCCTCTCCCCACCGCCTTCTGCTGCAGCCTGCCTTCCTCCCTCCATCCCTCCATCCTCCCGCCTCCCACCTCACATTGCTCCCCCTGGGTCTCTCATTCCTGCATCTTTCCCTCCTGCATCCCTCCTCCTGCATCCCTCCCTCCTGCATCCCTCCCTCCTCCATCCCTCCCTCCTGCATCCCTCTTCCTGCATCCCTCTTCCTGCATCCCTCCCTCCTGCATCCCTCCTCCTGCATCCCTCCCTCCTGCATCCCTCCTCCTGCATCCCTCCTCCTGTATCCCTCCCTCCTGCATCCCTCCTCCTGCATCCCTCCCTCCCTCCCTCCCGCATCCCTCTCTCCACGCCTCCCTCTTTCCCTCCCCCTGCCTGCGCAGAGCCGCGGACATGGCGCTCAGCAATTTCCTCTTCGCTCAGTGCATCTGCTATTTCCTGGCCTTTCTCTTCAGCTTCATCGTGGTGGTGCCACTCTCCGAGAATGGCAACGACTTCCACGGCCGGTGCCTGCTCTTCACCGAGGGCATGTGGCTCAACGCCAACCTGACGGTGGAGCGGCAGCGCTTCACGGTGCAGGAGTGGGGGCCTGAGGCTGCCTGCCGCTTTAGCATCTTCACCGGGCTCCTGTCCCTGCTGCTGGCCACAGTGCAGGCCTGGAGGACCCTCTTCTTCCTCTGCAAAGGGCACGAGGAGTAAGTATCCCTGGGGATAGCCCATCCCTCCCACAGGCTGGGACACCTGGGAGCAGTCAGGGGGTGAGCATCCGGGTCATCCTGCTCCCCAGAGGGGTTTGGGGAGAGGTGCTGTATCGCCCGTGTCTGCCTGCACACACACCACGCACTCCCCAGCCGTGTCCAGGGCCTCTCTGGAGGATGCTCCCGTGCAGAGGTTTGGGGTGGGGGGTCAGATCCACTGCCGTGCACCCTCTGCCCTTTGGCAGTCTTGCTGCAGCGTGTGGCCACTCAGCTGCAGTGGGCATGGCAGGATTTGGGGGCTGTGGGGTGATGCTGGAGGCCGGGGCTCACACGTGCCTCTTGACCGTGGTCCCACTACACATCTGTGTCAAGGAAGGCCTTCCCCAGGTGTGCACTGGGTGTGTGAAAAACCTTGAAGCAACATGGTTGTGTCTGGGGGGCCAGAAGGGAGAAGTTGGTGTCTCCCCTCTATTTTTTGTGCTGCTTTTGCTGTGTACATGGCAGCTATTGCAGACGAGGACTATTGCTTGGTTACGACATGAGAGCAATGCTGCAGCAGCTCAGGGTGGCACTGAAGGCTGGTTCCTGTGGTGGGCATCCCACCCCAGCAGGTGTAGGGAGAGGCTTGGTGGGCCAGGCAGCAGCTCAGGAGCACTGTGATGTTCTGTGCTTGCCTCTCTGGTGGCTTGAGAGGGCAGAGGTCCCGGTGCAGATAACCCAGCCTCTGGGTGCTACAGGGCCGGGGCTGGACAATGCACTGGTGCCTGTCTAAACCAGGAAAATATTCTTCTCATGGTTTAGGAACTATGCCAAGGGTAAATCATGTCCAGGTCTATTTGGACTAGAGGCTGTTACATCTGGGCTTGGTAATCCTGGAGACTGGGTAGCACTGTTGTCTTTCTGGCTCTTTCCAGCCACTCTCAACCTGCCAGAATACTCAAGCGTTCTGCAGTACACGTGGACCAGAAACTTATTCCATATTAAAACTTACCTTACACTAAATACAATTACATACTTCTTAATATCGTTGAATTCAGCTTCCCCAGGTGATCCAAGACCTGTAGAGAGTTAATTGAATCTCAAGGCTTTGCAGTTCAGAGCTGGCTAATTTTCAGAAGAAACCAGCAGTAAAAACTCTGTAATGGCAGCATATAGATTAGATGTTTGGCCTGCTTCCAAATGTGGCTATTAACTTCAAAACTGTTGGGCAGGCCCTTGAGAAGTGTCCCTTTAGGAGTTGCTTTCAGGCTCCTTTGGGAGTTGTGCAGCACTGTTCATAGCAGGCAAGAAAGGCAGAACCCTGTGGGGTGATGGGGAGCAAAGATGGAGCAATCTGGGATCATGAGGTAACCACAGAAAATCCCAGGAGCGTAAAACATGGCAAGATACTTGGGAACAGCAGTTTCTTGGTAAGAAAGAAGGTCTGTCCTGTACCACATCAGCCACTGTATGAAAGCAGACAGGGCTCATACTATCCTGATTTTAGATAGCCATTTGTTAATGGTTCAATTGGGCTCAAAAACATTTGTGTTTGGATGGAGACAGGAATGTCAGCTCCTCACCATACATAATAATTGCCTGTTCTGCTTAGAGGTAGCTGAGGAAGAACCAGAATGTGATAACTGATGGTCCTGCTGAGGAGGATCACTGCTACTGGGCCAGCTCCAGGGTGAGCCAGCCAAGGCAGTCAGGGTTAGTTAGCACCCCTTGCATCTTTCATGTGCAATGGTTTTAAATGACTGCTCATAGATAGTTATGACTGCTAAAAAACCTTCTTAAAAGAGTCTCAGCACCCCTTGCCTCAGCAGCCTGGGGCTCTTCAGCTCAGCTGATGGGTGGTGGTATAACTCAGATACTTCACTGCTAGGATTGCAAAGCAACTTTAAGCATAAACATTTATTATTAAAGGGCATTCACTCAATCTGCAATGCATAGCTTTAAGTTCTGATCTAGGGAAGAAAAATCAGGTGAGCTAGAAAGCCAAATATGCAGTTTTCTCTCAGGATGCCCTGGCATTGGTGATGGTTACTCTTGCCAGACACAAATCGAGTGCAAGACTGAGCCCTGCATTGTCAGTGGAAGGTCAGATGCTGGACCATGGAACCTCTTTTGCTGCAGGGTAGGAAACAGAGAGAGAATTGGAGATCCTGGGCTGTGATGACCCACTGAATAGTCCTGGTAACTGCTCCTTTTCTAGAGCTGTTACTAATTGTGGTGCCAAGTCTGTTTTATTCTGTGAAGAGCTCTCAGGCCACCATGCCATACTAAGGTGCACACAGAGGATATGATCTGACTTGAGCAGCACCTGGGATGAATCCAGGCTAGGTGTGAAGTCAGAGGGGCAGAGAACATGCAGAAATCTGGTTTGCTCATAGCAGCTCTCTCTGTGTGGGTGAACCCAGCACACAACAGAGGTGAGGTATCTACTTCACCAAGCCCAGCTAAACCAGAGCAGGATTCAGCTCATTGTTCATCCAGAAGTCAGGTATCCTGGCACCCAGCACCTACTAAATTCTATAGGGGCACTTCTTGAAGGTGGTTTATTTCAATTCTTTTCTATCAGTCTTGGGGTGGGACAACTGTCACTCAACTGTCACTTTGGAGAGAGCCTAGACAGCCCTTCTAAAGCCACACTAACCCAGGAGCAAACACCCTAACTCTGCTGCTAATTGCTTCCTCATCTCATTTTAAAAAAAATCTCCTGAGGTCACAAATATATCATGTAGAGCTTGTAGGAATTAGGATTGTCCAGCCCAGAACCTTCCAGGACTCAAACACTCATTTAAAAAGCCTCTTGGTTTTTCATTTAATGAACAACCAGGGAAAAGAAGTGACTGTGGGTTTTATTGTTCTCTGGGGTTAGTAGATTCCTTCTATCACCAACACAATGAGTGGCACTGGTGAGAAATTTGTCATATTCATCTTTACCACACACACTGAATAGAATGACCTGCCTCCCTGAGCTGCCAGTCTTTCTCCAGCCTGGAGCAGATGTCCAGTTTTTGCATAACATGACATTCCAAGGTACCCTATTCTAAATAGCCACTTAGAGCAGTTTCAAGTGGAGAAGGGCTTTGCCAAATGACTGAGATTAGAAACTTTTTGCAGCTAGAATTCAGGTGAGGAGTTAGAGAGCGAGGCTGGAAAATGAGTGAATGATTCCATGGCTTTATGGGAGATCTGTAAGCATCCCACCCCATCCCACTCTGGACGTGGCACGTGCTGAGGGCAGGCTGTGGTTGGGCAGACTCAATGGGGCTGAGGTAAATTGATATTCAGCTGGCAGACATAGCATCCTGACACCAAAGCCAGAGAAATCCTGGGAGAAGCTGGCCTGCTCTGTAAATTGCCCACAGAACTGAGATTCATGTCCTATGATAGCAGTACCTTGTGTTACATTGCTTAAAATGATTATAGCTATCAGTTCTGTGTTTTTATTTTTAGTTTCCCTCTCCTAAGCAATTTTTGTCCCAATTATCACTTAAGTCATGAAATAATTTTAGCTCCAGTTACTACATAATTTGAGCTAATGACATTTATTTTAACAATTTTCATTGTGATTTTCATCATTACAGCTAATGAAGGCCACATGGTGTATGAACAATCACCACTTATTATATAAAGTCACATCTTATGGTTAAAAAGGAAATCAAAATCAAAAGCATTTGCAAGCAAAGGTAATGTGACTCAAAATGAAGCCCAGAGAGTTTCAATGTATTAGGTGTTCTTAATTAAAGATGTGTTTCAAATGGAAACTGATATCTTTGTGCCCACTCTGTGCTGCTGGCAGAGACTGCTGATGTTGTGTTTCAGCTGTTTATGAGTTACATTTTTCTTCCCTTTTATTACAGCTCTTTCTTTTATGCCTTCCTGAATCTGCTGATCAGCGCCTTTGTGGTGTTCATCACATTTATTGCCAGCACTATAGTGAGTGTAGGATTTAACATGTGGTGTGATGCAATTACCGAAAAAGGAAGCATGCCAAATAGGTTAGTATTGAAGAATACATTGTATTCCTTTTATTTTTTTTTTTCATATAGGCACAATTGAACTGTGGTGTTACGAAGTGTAGTTATTACACGCAAGGTGAGCAAGGGGGAGAAGGCATTTGTAATATGAAAATCCAGAGTTTTTTCATGTGGAACAACAAAAAAAAGCAAATCAAACTTCTTTTCGTTTGTTTATTTAGAAGCCCACAAAGAAAAGTGTGTTTCCATCATATTTTGTGGTCTCTTTGAATCATGATCGTATGAAAAACAAATCCGTTATGTTAAAATTTTTTATTTCCAAAGGAATGTTAGATCTGGAGTTTTTCTAGTAATGGGGGGAGTGTGGCCTTGTGAGTTGGGCAGGGGGCTGGGGCTCAGGGCTCCTGGCTTGCAATCCTGGTTCTGCCCCCAGCCCACAGTGTGACACCAGACAAGTCACTTATCCCACCTGTGCCACAACTCATCATCAGACAAAAAATTTCGGGTAGAGTTCTATGCCTCGAAGTGATGCTGTGGATGCCCTGAGAGGCACAGAATGGCAGGCACTTTGTAAGTGCAAAGTACAGATGGCTGATGCCTTGTTATAGTCACAAGATGTACAGCTCCTAAAATGGTCCACTGTATCCCACGATGCTTATGCTCCTTGTAGGAAACATGATAAGTTGAGGAAGATTTGTTCCTATCAAACAAATAACCATAAAGAGAGAGAGGAAAATGTGACATTTTATGTCATATGATATTGAATACATGTACTTAAAGCATACATTTATGTTGCACATTGTCATATGTTGTAAAATGCCATAGTGAATGTTCTGTTTAGGGCTGCAACGATTAATCGATTTACTCGAATATTCGGTTAAAAATTCGATTACAAAAACCATCTAATCGAATATTCGGGTAAGAACCCAAGATGACCGACAGCACTGAAAAGGAGAGAGAAGAGGCTGCAGAAATCAACCAAGAGATAGAATGACAACCTCAAAATCCTGGGATTTTTTTCACACCAATAATGGTTCAAGTTATTTGTAAAATCTGTAGGCAGCCCCTATGTTACCATCAGAGTATCGTCTCCTTGCTGGAGCATCCGAAACAAAAACACAATTCCTTCTTCTGAGGCTTTTCCTGATGAAGTCAAAAGGTAACAGAGGATCATACACTTTGTTTCATTGAGGGGTGACACAACCAGCCTGGGGTGATGCCAGCTGCCAATCTGTGGGAGGCGAGGGGGACGTGGGAAAGAGGGGTTTAAGGAGTCATAATAATTAAGGTTTAATTATTCTTAATAACTATTACAATTCCACTTATGGGAGATTTGTGTTATCACTTACCTAACTGCATTTTTTTTTAAATAAAGTAATTTTTATCTTAGTTTTAGAGAAGATAAGCAAGCAACCTGATGATTGCAATAACTTGAATATCCTTTAATAGAATGTGCCATTGTGACCATTCAAAATACATTTAATATGTTTCATTTTATATTTGATTTGCCTGGAATACCTTAAATAATTTTCTTATTATTTTTTTTTTTTCCTTCCAAATGCTTTTCTGGGTAGCTGTGAAGAATTGCAGGATATAGATCTTGAGCTGAACTTGGAAAACTCTGCTTTCTATGACCAGTTTGCTATTGCACAGGTAGGTCAGACTAAGTCATGGTTCTACTCTAGTTCATTTGCCATTTGCTTATTGACCTGGGATTTCTGGAGCTGAACTACCATTCTCAGAAATCAATGGGAATGTTTCCACTGACTTCAGTAAGTGCTGAATCAGAATGATAGTGATGGGCAAATGTGCATTTTTAATTCAAAATACAGTTTTGAATACAGATATTTCAAAGCCTTACCCTACCACTGATCTTGTTAATCATGACAGAAAACTCATTGTGTATCCAAAGGATGAGGTCCACAAAAGTTGTAGCACTCTGGTGTCCTGGACCTCTTCATTACTGTTCAAAATAATTTCTGACCTGCACCATGCTGTGGGGTTCCTGGTTTTGCCTTCCTTTATTTTGACTGAGATCACCTAAGCTATATAAATATCAGACCACTGAAAATAATCAAAGGTGAATTCTTTCAGATAGGGCTGTTTTCTGATGAATCCATGAGAATTAGACCTCTAAGGCTATCAGACCTTTCTATTGAGTGTTCAGAGTCATTGATCAGAGTCAGTGAACACTGGGACATGAGCACATATTAATTTTGCAGGGATGATAGTCCCATCCCTGCAGGGCTGCCCCCTTACAAAGGCTTATGTTGTCTCACATGGAAAGAGGTATTAGCCTTCCTGGAGCATTCCTTGAAGGTAACCCCACCTCTTGGGCATGAGCCAATTTTGTGATTTGTTGCCAACATTGGCATCTAGATGCCCAGCTCAGGAATAACAGCATTTAGGAATGAAATATGCCATAAAAGAGACCCCTTTATATGAAGAACCCAGGACCTCCCTGGATTTAGCTTGGCATGACTCCATGGGTTTTGGGCCAGCTGAGGTTTTCATAATCACCTGGACAGCTGACTTTGTTTTTACAATACTGTACTGACCTCTTTGTGATTTCTTTCCTTCCCCAGTTTGGTCTTTGGGCTGCCTGGCTGACTTGGTTGGCAATTACCATTCTGGCTTTCCTGAAGGTTTATCACAACTACAGACAGGAGGACCTGCTAGATAGCCTGATCCATGAGAAGGAGCTGTTGCTAGGAAGATCCCCTTCACGATCCTCTTTGCAAGATGACAAAAGTGGCATGATCTAAAGTGTAAGCAAATTTCCAGGGCAGGATCTAGATTTTATTATTCAGTAGTGTGAGCTGAAGTTGAGTCAGGGTATTGAGTGTGTGAGATCTTTCATTTTCCTGAAATGAAATGTGAGTCACTTCCCCCATGAGAAATTGTTGGCAGAAATACTGCTATTAGGATAAAGAGAATGAAATGCCCTATGTGCCTATGGCACAGCAAACTTTCTGTCCTGTGCAGGCAAAATTTGTAACCTGCCCTCGTCAGCAGAGCTCCTACGTGCCATCGCTGGCTTTTGGGACAGGGGGCATTTTTGAGGACTGAGCTGGCAAGAGCAGGCTACAGCATCCAGGCTATTTCTTCAAACTATTCTTCAACAATAGTTGTAACTGGAGCTGCATTCAGTCCCTCCTCCCTCCCTCTCCTCCCTTTTGCCACTGAGCTGCCCCTGTTCTCTCTTTATCCTGGGAAGCTGCAGCTCTGGTTTGGGGACAGGCTCTCTCTGTCTCTGCTTTCACTGTGTATGGAGGCAATGCTGACAAACTCCTGCTCCTGCTCTGATTTTATTTAAAACATAGAGACCTGTGTACCACACCTGATATTTAATATTGGACAGTGCTAATGAATTCCATGAAAGCAGTATATTATTACAGCACCTGTCAAATACTGTGTATAATGTGGAAGGATGATGGAGAACTTCTGTGGTTTTTCTTCTTAGATTTTGGCATGACCAGCATTTATTATGACTCCTGAAGCAAAGTGTAGCTAGAAATTGCTGAAGCTTGCATACTAAGAAATTAAGCTGAATAGATAGTATTGATGCTTGTGCATTTATAAATGTAACTTGGTCCTTAACATGGTATACTATTCTGTTTTGAATATTAGAATTTATTTGTGATACTTATTTCATATAGGATATGCAAAATTACTGTAAGCATTTGCATTGTAGGTTTCTATATATAAACATAGCAAGGAGTTCAGACCACTGAGTTATTTTATAGGTATTTCAGTGCTGAATGGGTCCATTCTCCCCACTCATGGGCAGGAGTTCTAGGGCAGATGAATTTTGCTGTGAAAACAAAGAAAAATTGCTATTTACACAAAGATCACTGGTGACTTTGTTGTTGCTTTCAGTTTGGCTTGGCCAGTGCTTCAACAAATCAGGTGGATTGTTGAGATCAGGGGTAGCTCTGATAATTAAGAGTTACTCAGAGGAGTGTGGGATTTGCATGGCAGAGAAGTAAAGTTGTGCTAGAATTAAGCATTTATCCCCAGGTCCACATTACACAGAAGACCCAAAATCAGCAGAAAACTTAAGCAAACAGCTAAGTTCAGACTGAAGAAGAGTGTCACTGTCTGTGGTACCTGTGTTTGAGTTGAGACTGAATTTACTGCTACAGAAGTGCGAATCACACACAATATACAACCTGGTAAATCAGAATGAGGGGAAAGAAGACAGCAGGCTTCTACCAACTCAGAGCTCAAGCCTGGAATTAGCACAAGCATGCAGATTAACTGTTGTCTTCTAGGCTCTCTCTGATGCTTAGTTAAGTACCAGCTTAAGCATTTCATTGAAGCAGAATTTGATGTCATGACAAATCCCTCAATTATTAAGCATTTTAGGGCATAAAAGCTGACATTGTATTTAACTGCCAAAATGTTCTCATAGGTTTAGAGAAAAAGCCCTCCATGGGCCCTGAGCAGTGAACAGCCCTGTGAACATTGCTTATAAGCCCAGCTGGCCACAGCTCTCTGTAGAGAGGTCTTGCTCTTCAGCATGATTTCTGCCCTCAAGAGAAGGCAATTCCTTTGAAAGCTTTGCAGTAGTGGCTTTTTTTTGTAGTTGGGAGTTGACATCAGAGGAGGAGTCCTGGGGAGGGAATCAAAGATCAAGTTAATTAATACCAATTTAAAATTTAGATAGGACAGGACTGTCAGAGTGCCTTTTTTTTTTATTCATTTAGTCTAATGGTTTGGATATTAGGAAAAATCTCTTCATTGACAGGGTTGTCAAGCACTGTAACAGGCTGCCCAGGGAAGTGGTGGAGTCACCATCCCTGGGTGTATTTAAGTGTAGATGTGGCACTGAGGGACATGGTTCGGTGGTGGCCTTTACAGTGCCAGGTGAATGGCTTGACTGGACGATCCTAGAGGTCTTTTTCAACCTAAATTTCTCTGACTCCAGTAGGAGATACCCTCTTGCAAGTACCTGAGTCCATTTCCAGTGAATGACCTTCTTCATACCCTGTAGAAGAGCTTGGGTCTTGTAAGTTAGCCTGTTTCCTATGTTTCCCCCGTTTCTCCAGTTGTAAAAGGCAGTCTCAGTTTCACTCAGCAGTGACTTCTCTTCCCACAAATTACTTCAGTGCATGCCTCTCTCCTTGTGTGGAACCGTGCTGCTGCTTTTTGTGTATTTTATGTATATGCCAAATCAGGCTTAGGCTGAAGTCATGTGTGGGCTGGGACTAGTGTTCTTGGTGTTTCCCGAGGGTTTGAAGAACCACAAGGCAGAAGATAAAAAGTGCCTGCTTGTGGTTCTTCTCTGAGGTACCAGGGCCCAAGCCTTGTCTCTGGTTCTGAAAGAGAGGATGCTGCTTATGGGCAAGGCTGTCTGGGGCTCATGCTGTCTTCTACCTCTCCTGCCTCAAGGTCTTTTTCCTCCTTTCCATTTCCATGAGAAGCAGCAAACACTGATCCTGGATTTGGAGTTGCCACACAAAATGAAAAGAGGCTGAAGTTCTTCTGTGAGTGGCCTGTGATTCTTAGTCTGTTTTTCACAGCTTCCCTGCCTTGACCAGGTGGGGTGAGGCTGGCACCCCCTTGCAAGCATCAGGGATGCTTAAAAGAAAGTTGTTTTTGATGGAAGGCCCTGTGTGAGTCAGAAGGCAGAGCATGTCATGAGAAGCTCTCTGGCTGACCCAAGGGGAGCAAGGTTATCCTGCAACTCTCAATTATTGGACACACTTGGTGGTTTTTATTTGCACTAAGTTTTCTGCAACCTCGTCTCCTAAAGCTTGGGCACTCAGGCCAAGCAAGTGACGCCAAGCTGAAAATGTGTTAGAATTGCGGTATAATTTATGGACACATACATACATACCCATGCTCTCCCTCATTCATTTTTCTCTTTTGTACATTTCTGATGTCTGCTTTGAGTCATCCATTGCCAACCAGCACATCGTGGGGCTGAGTCAAATATTGCATTTCTGTGACATTTCAATACCTTTAATTTGCCATGTCCAAAGGCAGGCCTCGGGGAACACTCTAGCAAGAGTTGTATTCAAAGAACTAGAACATTGTGTGGTACTTGTATTTATTTATTGCCACATGGTGGAAGGGGAAAAAGCTTTGTGACATTTCCAAGGCACTGGGGCTGTTGCCACTCTAGTGTTCTGCTGTACCAAATACATTCTCTGGCTACCATCTGTAGTTAAATTTCAAACCAATTCCCTGGCAGCAGTCCTCATTGGGTTAGAAGAATCTAAGCTAACAAGTGTCATCTGAGCTTTTAGATCAATACTGTTTATTACTATTTTTTATAATGGAGAAACAATTGCAGCCGTCTTTTGGAAAAGAACTTCATCATGGGTGCATTCATGCTCAAAACATCTCATATCACTGACCCATGAGGCATGTTTCAGCAGAAAAATTTCAGTGAGAATCACAAAAATAAGAGCACGGCAGTAGTGAAAACAGAATGACACATTTGTGCTATAGCAGCAATTCTATGGTCCCTTAAAAAAGGGGGTGTTATAGTAACCAGTGATGGATGGTTGAGTGTACAGACCTTGTCATGGAAGCATTCTCTGTGTATGTACAATGTACACAGATAAACGCCAGAAATGGTTCCACTGCTCTTGTGTGATGTGGATAAAGGCTCTTAACAGGCAGCTTCAGCTGGAGTAGTTGCTAGAATGCCTTAAATTTCTATTCTTCCTTCTACTTAGCACCAGGACTCGTGCAATGGCAATGGTTATGATACACAGAGGTGGAATTCATGTGGGCAGAGTAGGAAAGCACTGGCCAATGCATAACTCCCAAAGCCTGGGATGAGTTTCTAGTGCAGGTTTGCAGGTGTTTTAATTCCTCCCCTTTATCTGGGTAATGTCCTGCTGCTAGCCTAAATTACTCCAGTTAGGAGCAGTCAGATTTCCCTTCAGGCCTTCACTCCTCAATATGGAACACTGCTGATTTAACCTGTGTAGTGCTCAGGATGGAAGCAGAGTTGCAAGGAAGAGGAGCTCACACTTTACAGTCATGGTGCACACAGCCTGGTCCTGGGTGTATGTGGGTTTTGTCATGGCCCTTCTCCAAAGCCTTCCCAAACATATTGCATGTAAAATCACTTGCACCATTTAAATTATAAAAATTTATATCCAGACAGTAAATTATACTGGAAAGACAGACAATATTTTGTGAAAATCAATCTGGATCATGAGAAAACTTGTGTTTTTAATTCTATATCAATGGCCTGAGTATCCTTGAGCAAGTGAGCCTCCTGGCTGTCCAGATCCTAAATCTGTGCCTCAGACCATTTCCTTTGGTGATGTAAACAGCCCATTTTTTTCTCTTGGAATGTTTGCTTTGGAGGCCACAAATGTCTTTTTCTTCTGGTTAGGCAATCTGGGAAAAGAGGAAGGTTTTACCTGCAGTGACAAAATGCTCATGTAACTTCATAAGCACAGAAATTGTTTTAGAACTATTTTTGCTCATGGCACTAGTGCCTTGAAGTACATGTTTCTATTTTTGTCCTCCATAAGAAGGAGGAAAACTATCCTAAGTTGTATTTTAGTACTCACAGATATGCACCTAAATGTTCTTTTTTATGGATTTTTTTTTTTAAATGACAAAATTCAACTCAGTGATTTATGAAATTAAGAACTGCATAGAAGACAGCATTTTGATGCTTCCCTGATGTAGAAGGGAACTTCCCTCTCTCAGAAAAATAACATTTGTTTCTGAAAGGTTAGGATAGAATTTACTCAAGATATAGCAAGAACTGCTTATTTCAGTGCAGGTTTTC